AGGGGAGTTGGTCCGCTCCAATCTACTTTCTAGCGGATGAACTCCCCTGGCATGCTATCTCTCTATTTGGCCAATTTCTACTCTTTCCAGCTGCATCCCGAAGCCTGGTAAAGGCTAGCTTCAGCTAGCCTGGTATCCAGCCTTGTTAGCTTTAGTCCGCTACCCAAGATCCGCTCCCCGCCTTGTTGGCGGGGATTACCGCCTTGTTGGCGGGGAGCGGATCTTGGGTAGCGGACTAAAGCTAACAAGGCTGGATACCAGGCTAAGCTTCAGCTGTCAATGGTCTAGGATTACAAAGTATCACAGCAAAAAAAAATGTTTACAGTAACTCTACTGTTACAGTTACTGTAACAGTTGTGATAAAGAGGAAAACACAGAATATTTCATTCAATATGTAGTATTTTAGACCTGCCTTTCTACCAGACCAGTGGAACAGATCACCAAGTCTTTCCAGAAACTTTCAGAGCAGAAGAATGACAGGAAAAGGCCAGAAAGAAAAGAGAAAAGAAAGGACAGGGAGAAGACATTTTAGACAGAAGAAAAGGAACTTGAGAAAGTTCACAACAGCCAGAGGTCATCATCATTCTAATCATAAGTTACTAAACATTTTGCCAAAAACAGTAACAGTAACATGTTGAACAGAAACATGTCCTACCCCCTTTCCTCTCTTGTCCTCCACCTCCTCCAGACACACAGCTGGCACCAGTCCGATCTGTGGGAAACAAACACTTATTAAACATACATCTCAAACAAAAGCAAATCACCTACACACTGCTGAAGTCTCCACCATTGGCTAGAACAGAATTGCAGCTTGGTTTTCAATATACAAGCTGGTGTGTTACACAGAAGGGCAGTTATACCAGCTATACTGATACAGAATCTGATACAGTATATGCTAATATTTCTGATTTTGCTCACTCTTTTCTGCAAAACCAAATTATTTCCTTGGATTGCAGACATTTTTCTTCATCATTCTCACCATGTTCACCTTCCCAAGCATTCAATTGTCTGATTCGACATTTCCTGGTAAAATTCCTGACATTATTTCCAGGAAAAGAACTTTACATATTAATCCACAGCTCCATATTCCTTGCATATTAATATTAAGACTTAGCATCTCTACACAATACACTTGAAGCACTGGCTCAAACAATCCGGTCTTTTACAGTCTGTGTTTAACTTAGAAAGAAAGAAAGAAAAAACACCTTGTTGTTGAATGACACGCTGCACCAGCCCTCCTCCTGTGCAGCTACAAACACCATGTTCCCCACCCTGACCTCCAGCTCCTCCGCTGAGTTAGGGGCGTGGTCACGCACAACTCTGTGGGGGGTCCCCTCCGGTCTGGGGACAGAAATTTCAGACAAAAATTTTAGCCAAGTTTGCTTTCATAATCTCCAAGCAGATTCTTTCGGTGGTAAAACAGTATCCATTAGCCAGAGAAGGTCGCCGGCCACCAACAGGTAGGGGGTTGGTGGGGGTACCGACCAAAAATATGGGCCATATATAAAAAGCTAACGATCATTCCCCCACAACCTCTGCTTGGAGAGTATGCTTTCAGCCACCACAATGCAACTACACTTTTGGTCTTGGCTTCTTGGCAAAGTAAAAAAATGCATCAAGAAGACTTTTCGAAATATGAGTTTTGAAAAAAAAATTCTCACCTTAGAGCAGCATCCAATGATTTTGCCTGGGATTCTTTCTAAAGGAAATACAAAAGGGAAAAACATAAATTCCAGCATCAAAGCTCAGCAAATAAAAGGATCTAACACATTTATCAAGAAGAGCAAGGGTGACCCAACATGTTTGGCTGAAAAAGGGAGCCATAGCAACACATTAAAGTTACTTACCGGCCTCCTGAGAGGTTCAAACCCAGAGAAGTCATCTCTGTCAGTAATAGATGAAACCACCTGTAAAGAGAACACGTTGTTGTAAAGAAAGAAAATCATACAATTGTGAAAAAATTGTTTTGTTTAATGTGTGGACTGTCCAACACTGACCCACTGGACAGGGTCACATGGAGTCATGGAGTCCAGTCTAATCTAGCTGACTGCTGAGACATGGAAGCAGGCAGTAGAATAATCAAAGCCCGGATATGTATGTTTGTATGTATGTATGTTTGGTGAACGGCATATCACTGATACAGACATTTGACTAAAAGATAGCCTCAACTTCCTATCTGTAACTATAATATAAGCAGATGTTAAACATTTCCAGCCTGCTGACCTTGGCCTTGCCCAGATAGTCCTTCTTCTCCAGGTTCTGTATGATGGAGGTGGCAGGCCTGAACAGCACGTTGGACGGCATCTCTATGGGCTGGAACGTCTGGTGGCGCTACAGAAAAAAGTGGAAAGAAAACATTATGAACCATTAAAAAAACAAGTTCGTAAAATGCCCACCTGTTTGACAAATGCTATGAAATTACAGCATGATTATAAAGTTTGCAAAAGCCGGCCATTCACATGACTGTACATGTATTTCTGCTACATGCATGTTGAATTAAGTCTTGAAGTTATCCAGAATTGTTGGCTTCCTATCTGTCTGTCTCAAATACATTTTGTAGATGAACCATAGTCTCTTATTCTTATACGTTACTGTGTACTACTAGATATTTCATATATTTGGTGGTTAAGGCTTTATTTAAATGTACAGACATGCTACCCTTTACCAGGTATCAGATGCAAATTTCTACTCTTTTCATCTCTCACTTCTAAAGCCTGGTCAGAGGTTACAGACATGCGTCCCTGAACATGATGGTATGGTAAACAAAACTTGTTTGTGTTTGTTTTTTTCTGCTAGTAGTAGTAGCTATTTTCCTTACATCCAGACACTCAAGAGCCTTGTCGATCACGTTGTGTCGAGGTTCAATCTTGACCTTCTGTGCTTCTAACAACATCTCCTTACACTGGGCCGTCTGTCCCAGCTTAAAGTGCACCAGGGCTGTGTTGTACAGGACCTGGAAGGGACAGCAGGGAATGTGAAAGTGATCTCGATTTAGTTTTAGCTCACTGACGATCTATACTTCTTCCACTGGTTGTGACAGAGAAGACATATGCCATGTACATTATTTAAATACACCTAGTTCATTGTCATGGGAAAATTCCTCTAGCTCTTTTCTACCAGCACAATGAACTGTGGATCATGCTTTGTGTTCAAGTTATGTAAACAAAAGAGGTGGGGGCTCAACCACTGACTTACACGGAGGAATTGCGTAGGTGTAGGTTGCATTTTAAAAACATGAGGTAACCAAAAAAAGTTCAGAATAGGGATTTGGCAGTCAATGAGCACTTCTATCTAAACCTGTTGATCTACCCCATGGCTAAATGTATCAAGTAGTCACATATTAACTTCTTAAATTTGTACTGATGAAGATGAGGACAATTTTTGTCCCACCTCGCAGGCGCAGAGTTTATAGCGCAGTCCCAGCTGTTTGTAGTCGATGAGCGCGTTCCTCCGCAGACGCTGGTACGACTCCTGAAAATCCCGCAGACCTTCCTGGTCCCTACAAAAGTAAAGGAGCAACTGTTACATTCATGAACAGTTTCATCAGGTTGGTAAGTGCCACACTGAGTAACCAGGTCTTGGTTGTGAAAAAAAGAGTATCTTTACTCAGCAACAGTAACTTATAGTTTGATCCTTGCTGTCTACACCACACAAATTTAATTTTTTTCTTCTCAGATTTTTTAAATAAAAAAAAGAGCACAGTGTTACTAGTAGGTGAAGGCCTCTGAGTCTGAGACAAAAACAGAACATGTGAAATGTTTATTTCTGTGTTCATTTTCCAATTTCTAATAAAATGTCTTTATTTTGCATTTACTATGTTTTCTTTTGCATTTCTATGTTTTTCTTTTGCATTTCTATGTTTTTCTTTTGCATTTCTATGTTTTTATTAATGCATTTCTACCCTTTGATTACAGTGGACACATTTTGCTTTAATACCTCTCAGGGCCTTCACCTCTGACGCTGGGCACGCGCACTGTCATTTGTGAGTCACGTCATCATTATTCTGTATAACCTCCACCAGACTTCTTTGCAGGCTGAATGAATAGCAGAAATCGGCCTGAAAGAATTAGCTGGCCAGGGGAGTTAGCCAGCCATAGAGGGTCCAGTTTGCCTGCTTTGGTGGAGACTAACATTTGTAGGAGGGCCTGCATGCCCTTTTTCGTAAGGCATAATCAGGCCTTTTTAGACTTCATAATTCGTAGGCAGCCTCCGCAAAAATCAACGCAATTCGTAATAGGACATTAGCTGCAAATCGTAAAGTCGTAATCAGCTCTGAGACTTCATTTGTAATCGGTGGCGAAAATTTTGCGTAATTCGTAATCATTACCCCCCATGCAGGCCCTCTTGTACTTTGTAGGTGTGGCCTTAAGGTTAAGTTACTTAACTCACCTGCCACACTTGAAGTTAGCCAGGCCTCGCTGGAAATACGCCACAGACAGGTGTTCATCTTTCTCCAGAGTCGAACTGAAAGACTGTCAGAGGAAAACAGAGATTATCTATTAATATTTACCACCTTTGTGGAAAGATTGCCACAACAGGTGCCTATCAAATTTTCAAGATGTCAAACAGAGAGGATGTTAAAGGTACTCATTTTCAACGGAATCAAGTTCAACTTCAAGGAAATACATGTAGGTGTAAACAAGGAGGTTATACTAGTAACTTAATATATAACCTCCTTGTTGTATAACTAAGGTAATTTCCCAAGGTCAAACTGAACACTTGGGCCTTCCATGGAATCGTGCTTTCAGATTCTGAGTCAACATGAAATTTGTCACTTTTATGACCATTTGTTTTTGCCACCTGTGATTGAAAAGTCATGATTGACTTCACACTCTATAACATGCTAGTTAAGTACCTTGAATGTACATATCAAGTAAGAATTATCTTCTCCCAGTTGCCTAAACAATAAATAGTCAAAAGACCCACCCAGAAAAAGAGACATATGCATGCATTGTTGCTATTCTTGGAATGACTGATCTAGTACTACCTACCTTTGTAATCCTTTGTGGTAATATACGTTGTGTCAACAACGTGAAATGGATTTAGTGCTCGTTTGAATAGTTGAATAAGAGAAACATCTTTTACTAGAAAAATTGTGACATGGATTTCTTCACTATAAAATCTAGGAACCGTGTTACTTTCCCTGAGTTTGCCTACTCTCCAAGCAGAGGTTGTGGGGAATCAGATCGTTACTTTTTTATATATTGGTCCTTTTTTTTTTTTTTTTTGTCCTGACCGGTCGGTGGCTGCCGACCTTCTCTGGCTAATGGATACTGGCCAATTTGATACTGTCTTTTTGCCACCGAAAGGGATCAGCTTGGAGATTAAAGTTTGCCCCCCTCCCCCTTACCTTAGCGGCTGGCTGGACCTGCCCCAGCGCCATCTGCACGGTGCCGATGTTGAAGAGAATTTTCGCCGACGGGTCCTGGATTCCCGTGAACTTCTCCAAGGCCGTGCGGAACTCCCCGCGATCGCACGCCGCCACGCCTTCATCCCACAGCCGCAAGTTTTCCTTCAGAGTCGCCATGATTTCTCAAAACTCAGGATCGAGAAACTTAGAGGGGCGAGCAAGGGAAGGGCAGATGCGCTCAAGCGAAAAACGCAGCAGTCTGTGGGCGTTTTTAGGCGAAGCTGCCACGCCAACTATAATGTTTGATTTCTAGAAAGAGCGGAAATTGGTCTCACGCCGTCATGGTTCATGAATAGGAATCGTGACTGGTGGTATCATGGACGTGTTGTGGTTGACGTCAGGCGCCTTCCGGGATCCTAGGCTGGGTTTCGGGGAAGCCGGAAGTCAGTCGATTGCCTGCAGAGACACGCTTGTCCGCATGTCGGCGCTGCTGTATAGGCCTCGACCGACCAGCTGCAGTACTGTTATCAATCGCTATCACAGGTCGTGCGCTGTTAGTCTTGTGGTTACCACAAATTACTAGCATTACAACGTTACATGTAACGTAGCCTCTACCAGGCTTGGGGAGGCGGCTGGAAAGAGTAGAAATCGGCCAAATAGAGAGATAAGCATGCCAAGGGAGTTTGTCCGTTGAGAGAACATTTCGTGTGGCGAAATGTTCATTTCTTTTTTCTTTTCTTTCCAGCCGCCTCCCCAAGCCTGGTAGAGGCTAGCCACCTTGCTCTATGACATTAGATATATGAATATATTTTATTTCGACAGAGAAATGAATGAACAGTTTTCACACACACAAAAAAACTTTTATTTGCACTTGAAGTCATCTCATGCATAGACCACATATAGCTGAATAACAGTATCTGAAATGAAAGATGGCACCCAACACCCATAGCATGTCACGTGTTTCAGTGCTAAATTTACAGCTCTGTGGTAATAAAAACGTTTAATGCACATTCGAATATAATAGTTGGTCCATTCAATTACAGCAAAAGCACATTCTATTTTTTAAACTCTGGAATTTTGACCTACATGTAGCTGAATGATGTACAAATGTATGTGGTAATTTGCACTCAGGTATTCATCCCTATTGCTGGAGAGACAGTCCTACTCATAACTCTCCTGACATAAAGCATGCCCGTAGCCAGGATTTTGAATAAGGGGGTTCTTCCCACTGCCGAAGGCGCAGGGTTCCTAGGGGGGTCCGGGAAAACTTTGAAAAATGAACCTTCTAAAATGGCATTTTGTGCATTTTTGAGAGGATTTCCAAGAAAAAATCAGACACAAATTTTTATTCAATGACAAAGAGAGCAGTTTTTCTACGATTCCAGTCCATCTTTTTAAGAAAAATCTTGGACCTTTACATAAAAAGTGAACCAAAAAGTGGACCTTTACATAAAATTGGACCAAAAAGTGGACCAAAAAGTGGTTCTTCCGAACCCCCCCTGGCTGCGGGCATGTAAAGGCTTCTAAAGTAACAGACGTTTAGACATTTCTGGTCTAAGCATTCAGGATCCTCTGTACATAAGTACGGACGTTGACATGGAGGGTGTCTTTGGTTGCCTCGAACACTTCTTTAGCAAAGTCTTGAGTCTCAGGACTTCCCGCCTTCAAGGCACGGTAGATGGGCAGGGTGTACTTCTGCTTCCCTGATGGACACAAATTAAACATTCCTTGTTAATGAAAAGATACGGTAATCTTTAATTTGCACAGCAAGGAAATAGCTTGTTAGCCTGGGTGCCATCCTCCATAGTTTCCACCCGCTCCCTAATGTCGCTGGGCACCATGGAGCACTGTGACATTAGTGAGCGGGCGAAAACTATGGAGGATGGCACCCAGGCTAATAGCTTGTTGCAAGCACTGAAGGAAATTTTTGTTAGTTTTTGCTATTGAATTTTAGTACAATGCTAAGTTTAAGCAAACTACCAACAAAGATGAACTTCCATGACTAACAATATTTCTTGGCTCGTAAGAATTTATCCTGAATGTTATAAAACTAGCATTGAAATCCCTTTGAAATATCTTAGGTAAGTTGGATGCTTTAAGGATGAGAAAACTTGTGATACCTTGGCTCTCCAGGAAGGCCCTGACTTTGGGCAGGTCAGAGATGAAGTTGTTCTTGATGATCAGCATGGACCATCTCATCGTAAGCTGAGGGGTACAAAGTATGAGTAAGGTTACATTCAAATACTATTGTGTGTACAATGTTCAATAGTTAGGCATGATGTTTACAAATACCCACCGCACTTATCGAAAAGAGTAGGGGACCTTCCCGGTGTGAGTGGTTCAAGCCTTACAGTCTGGTCTCAGGTTTGACATCTTTGAAGAGGTGATTGTCACCTGTTATGTCAATCCTTCCACAAATGTGGTAAATCGTCATAAAATAGCGAGAATGGCTAAAGCTTCCCAGGGTGGCACTGAACTGGTATCCAGCAGGAAAAAATAGAGAGGCCAAGCAATGACGACAGTTGAGCGGGACCTTGTAGAGATGGGTTGTGGATGGGAGGGGGGAACATCATAGCTTGGGTACCATCCTTTTTTTTCTGTGCATACAGCCAACACAGCTGTCTCAATCAATAGATGCTGGCAATAGCGCTGAGATGGCAGTTAACACAGGACTTAAAACTGTGCCTGTCCCTAAGAGTTAGTCTATGGTTACCGGTTTATGTTTGCTCCTTTGGTTAGTAGTGACTATTGAAGTCAGCATAAACTAACCAGGATCATGGTAACCAAGGCAAGGCGCAACAGGCAAAAAGAAACAAGACAGTATGAAGGACAATGACGGCCTGCCTTGATGTTTTACATTAATTAATAACATGTGGCATTGATGAAGAAGCCTTACCTCAGCATTGTGAGACTGTGCGATGTTGGGGTACGCCCCTGCCAGTGTGCACTACAGTGTAGTACATGTATGGTAAGACTTACCTCAGCGTTGTGAGACTGTGCGATGTTGGGGTACGCCCGTGCCAGTGTGTACTACAGTGTAGTACATGTATGGTGTGACTTACCTCAGCATTGTGAGACTGTGCGATGTTGGGGTACGCCGCGGCCAGGGCCTGGATGGTGTCGTGGGTCAGCTTGGGTCGCTCCACCAGCTTGTCCAGGAAGTGGACAATCTGGTACGTCTTCCAGTCTGAGATGTCGGTCATCACCTCCTGATTCTGAACACAATAACGTCAAGATATACACCTTCCTGACAAGCTTACTACTGTAACAGTGAATTTCTCAAGGGGTCATTTAAAGGAAGGTACTAGTATTTGATTACACAGCAACCTTGAATTGTATCATTCACTGAGAGTATTATGTCTGTGGACAGGTCAGCAGAACCAACTGCACCTGCACAGACTCTGAAACATACATGTAATGTGCATAGCCCTTCTCTTCTCCAAAACATGTCGTTTTAAGGTTTTAAAGTTTTTAAATGATGTTTCGGAAAATATATCATCTGCAATGAACAAAATTCTGCTGCAACATTGATCAAACATCCAACAGAAACCATTGTTTTTTTTTGCACCTTCCATCTGGTCCCCATTAAGGAATGGTATCACCCACTAAAAATATAGTCTGTATACTGCTGGAATAGTTTATTTCAAAAATAGGGGAGTTACTATGAAATTACCTCCTCCATCTGGTCCCCTGCCCAATGAGCTGCGAGCTGCTCGGCCGGGCGGGTCAGCTGTTGCCCCGGTGACAGGTCAGCGACAAACGGCGGCCAGCCTGGGGTGGTCAGCCAGCGCTCAAACTCATAACCTGGCCTGGAAACAAGAAAGTGGTTGAAGAGACTCTTTTTTTACACAACAAAGTGTTTTATTCACAGATTCAGACATTTCGGTGACCGCCTGTCACCTTCCTCTGGGCAATTCTGTTTGGGATTGCATCTACAGCAGCGACACCTGTGCTGCAGTGCAATGTGAACCAGTCAGAATTGCCCTGGGAAGGTGACAGACAGTCACCGAAATGTCGGCTGCGAATAAAACACTTTGTTGTGTAAAAGTGTCTCTTTACTCAGTGACTTACCAACCTGATGAAACTGTTCATGAGTATACATGTATGTCAGGTTACTACTGTACATGTATATGAGAATGACAACAGCAAGAAAAAAAAACTGATGGGAACCTAAGTCAGGTAGAATGGATGAAGTTATACAATTGTACTGAAAGAATTATCACACAGTAGAGATGTGTTACTGACTTGTTCCTGAGGTCCTGTTCCCTGAGATGTGGAAAATAGTCCAGATAAAACTCCAACATGTCCTCTGCTACAACACTCTATAGGAAGAAAAGGGATGTTACAACAGGCTTTTGACAACTCTCCTTTAATATTTGTACAGTACAGGTCCAAGAAATGTAATATGTACTTTATTTTGTCATTTACCAATTTGTTGCCTGCTGATTGTATTTCATTGACAACGTTATTACATGTACGTGATTTGTAATAATTATGTAGTATTGGCATTATGTGCATTATAATGGACACCAAAATCCCTTCTTTGTTTCAAGATCATAGTTTCTTACACTGTAATGTTACTTAAACTTGTTGATATAAGCCTTAGGAACTGGTCAAACTTTTCACTACTACTGGCATAGTGCTTCATCAGATTAACTGGTAACAAGCATTCCCAGAATGTTCAACCCTCTCTGCTTCAAGAACATCATGTTAACTCACCCTGTACTTAAACTTGCTAATATATGCCTTTAAGAACTGGTCAAACTTCTCATCCCCTCCTGCACAGTGCTGAAGGTAGCTGACGAAGGCACAGCCCTTCTCATACGGGGTCTCATTATACGTGTCGTCTGGGTCCACCCCCTTCTCTATCTTCACTCGCAGGCAGTTCAGGGGGTGGTTCTGCAGGGGGGGTATAGGAATAAGTAGGGGGGTTACACAATAAAATATTGACAACAGTGTGAAATTTAAGAAAATATAGCAGAAGAGAACAGCATGAAGCAAGAACTGAAGAAGCAAAAAACACATGAAAAGACCTTTGGATTGTAGTTTCTTTATTTCCACTCATAAAATGACCCAAAAGCCAATTCAACATTTTGAGTTACACCACAAATAAGACATTCAGAAAAATCCTCAGCAAAACAACACAAGCTTGGCTCACTGGACTAAGAGGCCTAGTAGAACAACAAGGGTAGCCATTGGGCACTTGAAGTCTATGTTGGTTATGGGTATAAAATATAGGCAGCAGGGAGAAGGTTAACCTTTGGTATGCTAAGGGCAGCCTGTGGGGAGAACCAGGGTTAAACAGGGACTGACCTGTCCTATGTCCCCCAGCTGCCTGTTGAAGGCAGACAGTCCCGTCGCCACCTTCAGTAAAAAGAATGGGCGACCCAGAACCTTAGACATGGCATAGTTCTGGGCAAACCTGGTGAACCCCTGGGACAGGAAGATACCAAGTCATTAAGGGGGGACACCACTACCAAAAGCCCCTCCAAGATGAGCAAGCAGCCAGGCTATCCCTCTCAGTGCACTGTGGTTCATTCCAAATTTCTGAATTTGCTTTCAAGGTTGCTATAGAATTTGAAAACCCTCCAACCTTACAAAGCTGAGGCAATGGTAATTAAGATGGCTGATTTTATAACCTCCAATGTCATGTAACATCAAAATACATTTTTTGTCATACATGTATAATAGGCAGATGGTAACTTGGCTGAGGGCGTTTTGGAAATTCGAAAAATACCACTTGTAAAAGTCAAAAACTGATAAACAATTGTCAAATCTGGCATTCTTTTCATATCAGCAAGGCTTAGTGGATTTAGCACCATTGCTATACATTTCTGCGATGTATTTTTAAAATGAGCGTTTCACTGGTCAACCAGCATGGGAGAAATCTGAGGGAAGACTGAGAGAGATTTTCTGGCTGCCAGTTCTTGGAGGGACGTGTGTTGTCGCGCGGACCCACCTCCCCTACGGTGGTTATGTGGTTCTGGAGCAGGGCCTGCCCCGTGGCAGCCTCCAGACACTTGTAGGGTTCCCCGAGCACCGTGGCACACACACGCCGCTGGGAGAACATGGTAAAACCCTGCAGAACACAACAGTCTAATAACTTAGCTTCAATATACACACACACACTCATACACACACGCCGCTGGGAGAACATGGTAAACCCTGCTGAACAGAACAGTCTAACAACTTAGCCTCAATACACACACACACACACATACAAACACACACACACACGTACAAAAACACACACACACACACGTACAAACACACACACACATACAAACACACACACACACACAAACACACACACACCGCTGGGAGAACATGGTAAAACCCTGCAGAACACAACAGTCTCACAACTTCAATACATGCACACATGCACACACAGACACACACATGTACACTCTACTGGAAAACATGGTAAAACAGCACAGAGACAAAAAGGTAAAGACCCATACTTGATAGGGAGAAACAAATAACATAAAATTTAAAATACTAACAAGTTCAGTGCTGTAACATATGACTCATGTCTTTTACCTCATTCAGCCAAAACTCACTCCAGTTGGCATTAGTTACCAGGTTCCCAAACCAGCTGTGGCACTGGAAACAAACACAAAATTAAACACAAGTCTAAATGATTAAAAAGGAAGACAAAGAATAGCCTGGGTACCATCCTGGTTAGTTTACGTCCACTCCCACAGTCGCTGGTTGGTGGGAGCGACTGTGGGAGTGGACGTAAACTAACCAGGATGGTACCCAGGCTAGTCAAAGAACATGCTTGCTTCACAATTTTTTATCGTCTATCTTTGTAAATACATTTAATTAAACAAAAAAAAATTTGAAATAACAACCTCAGCGATTGCTAGAACCTACCAGTTCATGCATGACGACATCTGTCAGCGACTTGTCCCCGACGAGCAGACACGGGGTGACGAAGGTGAGACAGGGGTTCTCCATCCCGCCGTACGGGAAGGATGGAGGCATGACCAGGATGTCGTACTGTCCCCACACGTACGGGCCGAATAGACCCTCCGCGACCTGGATGTACTCTTCCACAACCCCCTCAAACTCTGACTTTGCCTTCTCCTGCAGAAATGGAGAGGTTCGACCGCCATGAATTTCATCAGGTTGGTGAATTTTTGGATGGCAAAGTTTCACAACCACTTGACCGATGTTTCAATGACCGTCTGTCATCTTTATCGAGGTAATTATGACTGGTGACTGTGCACTGAAGCTAGGTGTTACCACTCATAATTGCCCTGATGAAGATAAAAGACATTGATACATCTGCTCTTGTTAAACAGGTTGTTGTGAATAAAGAACTTTGCAATTCAATGGATAATATTTTACATTATAGGTTCACAGTAGGTTCACCTTTGTTGGACAATGCAGCAGTGTCCTCTTCCACTTCTTTCTCTACTACATTCCTTAAGACATTGTGCATATTATTGTGTGTCAGAAGAAACACAACTGACACACAAAAAACACAAGTGAACTTTCATGCTTCGAACTAATAGCAACATAAGTTCCATAAGAACCTCCCCCACCAGAACACTTGGTTCAGTCCAGACTTTACTGCGAGGCCCAATGTCAGCTGATGCGATGTCCCCCACCGCCAGCGCGATGAGGTAGGCAGGGATGGGATGTTCCATTCTGAAGTGGGTGGTGTTAGGTTCTGGTCCCTCCGTACGAGAGGAGGCACTCATCACAGCAGTGAACCCTGGAGGAACCTGGGGTAGGGTGGTCTACTTGTTAGAGTACAAACTTTAGGAGAAGGAAAAGATCCACAACAAAAACCATGGCCTTGCTGGGTCAAACAAAAGGACTTAGAGGATAGTATGATGCTAAACTTTATTCCATCAGAAAACGTACACACTTGGAATAAAGTTAAGCATCATACTACTACTCTCATCTGCCGAATAAACATACGGGTACGTTTATTTTTTGGGCCCGAACATCCACCCAGTACGTTCTTATTTTGAACAGTACGTTTATTAATTTTTTGAAAACCAGTCGCGTGAAAAAAATTGACAAATCATTGACGTGAAGACGTTATAAACGCGTTATAAACACGTATTGTAGCGAGAAACTTGTCATTTTCGGGCTGGTTTTTGCAATCGCCGCGTGCATAAATTCGTCTGAATGTTCTATTGTCATGGGTGGTGCTTATCAAAATACGAAATATCAAATGCAGTTTTTTTTTGTCTATTTAAATTCCTAATTGCAAATAACAGTTAAAGATTTGTGCATATATCAGTAAGGGTGCATTTTAGTACAAGAGACACAGGTTACCCGTCAATTTTGGTAATTTTCCGGGGGGTACATTTATTCCGGGGGTATGTTTATTTGATTTTGAAGATTTGTCCGGGGGGTACGTTTATTCCGGGGGGTATGTTTATTCGGCAGATGAGAGTAGTATGATTAAAACCAAAACAGATGAACTTCCATGAGGACTTAAAAGGGGACTAGATACATTATTGTAACTTTTGTCATATAGAAGTAATTTACTTCTATGGCAATTTTATGAAACATATAAATAAAAACTAGAACACTACACTGACTACAAACAGCAAGAAGAAGCTGCCTTTCTATTAATCTGTTGGACAGGTTCGTGTACAGTGTATATGTATAATCCATCTTTTGTAAGCAATACTAACAGTGAGTTCCACTATGCAGACTTTTTAGGTTTCAACAGGTCTACTCAAATACAAGCCTTTACTGCTGTCAAAAAAATAAGTGAATTATGCCATGTCCACTGTGCGCCTCCTGTACTACCTTGACCCTAGCTGAGTATGTAGCCTTGGTGGCAGGTGTGTCCTGAACAGGTAAGAAGGACCGCGTTAAGACACTGAACCCTGAGGTGTAGAAAAACGGCAACTGCTTACCTGAAACGCAAACAGAAACAGGGTTGTAGCACAGCTGGCAGTTACAAAAAAGCACAAAGGATATAACGTTACAGGTTTTAAACAAGTAAGGCAGTGTCAATTAAATCTATTGGTTCTCAGATTCAAAAAATGATTGGACACCTGGGAATCAAAGTCATACATTTGGAGGAGAGAGAGTGACTTTTAGCATAACCAGATTAACCATTGAATCAGGTAGAATCAAAACGTATGTCACCAATGACCAGCATGATCCCAAATTCACCTTAACTTGTGCAGAGTAAGTAGACTTAATGGCCGGGGTGTCAATACAAGGGAACATGGATCTATTCAGGACTGACTGGCCTATGGTGAACAGGTACGGCTGCTTCTTACCTGCAGAAACACAGAGGTGGAAGATTCTAAGAATGTATTAATCTACAGAGTTCAGAAAAGAGTACATGTAACAGTATGTTCCACGGATTTAAAATTCTATTCTATTCTATTCTATTCTATTCTATTCTATTCTATTCTATTCTATTCTATTCTATTCTATTCTATCCTATTCTAGTCTATTCTATTTTAGTTTATTCTATTCCACATGTATATATTCTATTCTATTGCAATCTTTAATAATCCTCTTCTATTCTATTCTAGATCTGTTCTATTCAATTTTGTTCTATTCAATTTTATTCTTGCAACAAATTTTGGAGACATGTTTGGTACAAATTTGCAATCAATTCACAAACACAAAAGAGCAGAGCCAGTGCAATTTAGATACAGATACCATTTCACACTACTAGTAGATGTGCAGAAGACTTCATGATCAGCACAAGGTGGCCTGGAACAGCCAAGAGCATTAAAGTCTAGTATAAGCTTGAAATGAAGCAAGAGAAGTTTAGACCCATAGAAACACATGAACAACTTAGGGAAATAAAATGTGATGATATAGCTTGTTAAACCAAGAGTGCATGACTGATGTGAAGACACCTGTGCAAAGAGGAGAAAGAGAGTTATCTGGCAATGTGCTGTGGACATTACACTTGAAGCATTATTGAGTTAAAAAAGATTATCTACAAGTACACATACACATATTAATGATGCTGTAGCTATATTATAGAAAATGGAACTTAACATTTGGAAATGTCCAAGCTTTTCTGAGTCCCAAAATGAATTTAATTGATAGTGTAAAATAATTAATTTATGCTACTAGTATTATAATCTAGTTGAATTCAATGGTTTAAAAAGCAGAGTCTGCCATTTCTGACTGCCTTGTTGCAAGTTCAGTTCAGTTCTTGTTGCAAACTGAAACTTCAAACATATCAGATGACTATCGAGAACCATGCTGAAATAACCATGCTTAAATAAGCATGGTTCTGGATAAAGCACAATTCTGGATAATAAGAGCATACCAGCAGTCTGCTTGGGTTCCAGCCAGCACATGGCCGGCCCCTGCCCCGCCGTGTAGCTGAACTCCAGCTGGAACTCCTCCCCGGGACTCACCGCCGACGGCAGACACACGTGCAGCGCAGCGCCGTACAAGGTGAAGGGTCGCGTGTCAAAGGTCACCGGGGGCTGGTCGCTGGTGCTGCGGCCGTCCTTGTAGGTGACTCGGACACCGTGGATGGAGAGGGTCGCGTGGGAGTCCAAAATTACTGAACGATGAAAAAGAAGAGAACATGGGAAGAAAAATTAACATTCACTAATCAGATCAGGTGCTTCTCATCAGGCATCCTGCCCTCACAAAGCACTAGTAGGGCAATAAGAAAAGGCTAACAATTTCCTCATCTGACTTCTGTTTGGAGAATTGTAAGTCTAACTTTAATAGTCTAAGAAAACTGTCACTCTTCATAGACAACAGGTGGCAGTTCAGATCACAGGTATTGATCATTTTACAACATAGATAACTGAAGAAGTCGTAAATAAGACTGCAAGACATTCATTCAATCAATCATCAAGTGATGTATGTAGTGTTAGTACATGTAGGTCAAGCAATAAAGATGGAATTAAGTCTTATTTTTTATCTATAATTTCATAACTAGTACATAATAATAAAAATCAACTGATTGAATGCCCTCATGTTCAAACTGCCCAAGGATGTTAAATCAAATCGATCTCTTAGTAATAATAAGGACTAGGTAACATGCATTCAACCTCAAGCATCAAACCTCCGTACTGGGGAAAATATGGCTCTTAAGGGTTGTAAAAAGCAATTGTAAATTTTCAAAACAATACAGTTGTCGGTGGGCGTGGCGCACACATAATAAACTTTCGGCCTGTACTTCTAGAAAATAAATGAATCGAAATATACTGAAAACTTTCTACTTACGATCTACGTAAGTACGTATAAGCCAGCAGAGCTTAGCCCACCAATCTTTGCAACCCCCCTCCCCGCTTCTTAAGTTACCTTCGGCACATGGCTGCAGGCACTGCAGGTCCAACACAGCCGAGGCGCGGATCGTCTTTGTGCTGAAGTCCACGTCCAAGTCCAGGTGGTAGTTGTTGACCGTGACGTGTCGGAAGTTGGAGGCGGACGCCACGTCCTCGGCCGAGTCCGAGTAGAGCTTCTCCGACGACCCTGCGAACTGCAACTTCGGCCTTTTCGCGTCGACGTCCGCCATCTTGACACTGGACGAGTCTACAGGGGAACATGCCAAGGGGTAATCTCCAAGCAGATCCTAGCGTGGCAAATTGGCCAGGCAGTCATTGGCCAGAGAGGGCCCAATACGTACGCCATCCAAGATCTGCAGAAAGTCGCACTGGACATGGGCTCGGGGAGAGGCAATCTTGGGTGGCGTATTGGACTCTCTCTGACCAATGGATACTGCCTGGCCAATTTGGTACTTTTTTATGCCACCCTAGGATCTGCTTGGAGATTAGTGACGGGGAGCTTTATGGCTTTCACACTTCGTTGGAGTTTCCTTCCGTAATTTTTCGCACCAAGTTTAATGTAACTTTTTTTCAAAGCCATTGAGTCACTTGTTTTGTTAGGTTGGCTTTGTTTAATGCTCTACTGGATAATTTACACTCAAGTGAAAACTGAACTAGAGGGGAACTTGAAGCCTTCTCTTCATCAGTTCATGGCCCTTCAAAGTTCAAAACCAAGGACATTACCCTATATAATGTCATTGTCAAAACTAAAATGACAACTTTTCTAGTTCAATCAAATTGTTTTTAAAAATTCCAGTTTTCGTCTGCAAGGAATAAATTGAGTCATAGCCGATCAAAGCTCATTGGTGAATCAGAGCTTCTGTGTCTTACGACGCAAAAAGAAGAGAGGAGGGAGAGGAAGGAAAACTATAATTTGTTTTGGTAATTTATGAAGTAAAGTACCTTATTTCAACGTTACCATGACATCGATCCTTAACCATTGAAATGATAAAATCTTTCTAAGCTGAAGGTCCTGAACTTTTCAATGATTTGCAATGTCAATGTCAGCTTTCTCAAAGGTTTATTTCTTTCATTTCAAGCCCCCAGTATATACCCATTTCAGAGTTTCCTGTAAATATTTACATCTAAAAAGGTGCCTAAAAACTGAAATTATGAACGCGTATTTATGAATAAAACCGCCCGACACTTTTGTCCTCCCGACGGACATAAACGCACGGCTCATTCTTTACTACTGCCGCAGCCTCGTTCTGATTCCCACCAGACCAAGATGGCGACGGGCTGACATTTCGTGCAGTTCTTGGAATGTTGTCCGCCCCATCTGTTGATTTGTCGAGCGGTAGCCAAATTCTTCAACCACCAACGACAAAATCCTTCCGACTGTCAGCTGGGCGACCTTTGAGGCGGGGGAATCCGATGTAGGAGCGGTAATTTCGCTCGGGAAATGGGGCAATCTCAGGGCAAAGATGGAGGAGACGCTAGGAGACCGAGTTTGGGCTCGTTCGCCAACAAAGTTGGCAACTTCGGAAGGAGTCTGAAGGGGAAAGAACCCCGTGCCTACCCGTCTTTCAACGTCTTCGAAGAGCACAACGGTAAGACAAGACTTCTATCTGCTTGTAGTAGCACCAGAGTGTAGACAAACACCACCAAAGTGGGGGCATGATACAACCCTCCCTCCCAGGACATGTCATCAGCACTCATTCATTTGGGTGTAAAAAATGTGGGCCCGATTTTTTCAGGGCACCAGTCGAATAAATTTCCCTTCTCTCTCCAACCCCACAAACTCTCCTGCCAAGTCGGGAGGGTTAGAGAGTACATGTTAGGTTCAAAAGGGACGCTTTTACATACGTTTTGGGCATTTTTGGTCGTCCTGAAGTTTTGATCGGAAGTGAATGATTCACCCACCGGAATATCCGCCGACCTGCCTGATCAGGTACAAACGTGCTTCACATAATTTGGCGTCCAGTTTTCACCAAAAATCATCGAAAAACCACCCTTTAACTACTTCTCATAGCCCCCTACTTATTATATTCGAGAACATAAATAGATATAATGATCTCATGATCAGTTATGGCATGATTTTCTTTTAAAAATCATACTATTAAGGTCATAAATCGGCCTGTGCCGGCCATGACAGATTATCACATATTGATTTTTTGTAGGAATCGCAGATCCAATTGGCAATGATTTTGGCGTTCTGATCTCTCGGGAAATGTAATAAATACGGATTCCGGGGCTAAAGGTGAACATTTTATACATGAAGGGTGATGAAAAATTCAATAGGAACTCATCGGGACTCATAAGGATGTAGGTATAACGTCGATGTGAGTCATCTACACTAATAATAAAAGGTCCGGGTAGGCACGTGTACTTAACCATGCAGCACACTTTGACATCAAACGTCACTCAGCTATTAAGAGTTGTGTCATAAAAAGCATTACCGTAAAAGTAGGGACCAATCTAGCTAGTAAATAGAATATGAATATTATGATAGCAATAACATCAAGTACAGTCATAAGATTTATTTCTTTGAGTATGTATTAATGTGATAATGTATACCAATAATGTCATATACAATTTATAAATCTTTTTATGTACAGTGTTGTTGACATAACAAGCATTTCTAAGGGGGAGGGAGGCAATCAACGTCCTAAGAAACTAATATTATTTAGAGAGGAAGTGGGAATTTATGGTAGCACTATCCCAATATTATGATTGAGTCTCCAAATCTTGTAAATTATGATAACAAAGAGTATTTGGTATACTAGGTCCCGGACTCATTTATATCATCTATGGAAAGCATGAACTTGGGTATGCAAGTGTTAATAGATATTGAGCTTCTCTTGCCAATTGGCAGCTGTACTAGTACATATGCGGTTATTGATAATCATTGGTGATAATCCTAAAAACACCATCCTGCCTCAGATTGTCCCACATACACACTTGTCGTGTGTGAACACAGGAAACAATAAACCCTGTAAAAAGGTCAACGATATGATGAGTTCAAAAGAAAACGTTTACATTTTGACACTGTCCCATATCCTGTATCATAAGGAGTAAGAAAACAATGGCTTAAACATTTGCTGAATGGCAACTTTTGATGATATGATGACTTAAAAGCCTGTATACATGATTATTTGCACGTATGTCTTCAGATCTAGAGAAGTTCCTGTAAGACTACAGGAAACAATTAATCTTGTACGGTTTTTGACAGAAGTTGTCTTCCTTTAGTTTCATTCTTTGGCTGTTGGGCCACAAGATTACACCTTGTCTTTCACTAGTATCCGTATCATTTCTCAGTCCATGTGACCAGTGTGTTTAAAATCTGATAGTATTCTAAAGTAAACCTTAATTGTGTTTTATTAAGACAAGCAAAAAAAAAAAGAAATTTCAAGAAACTCCAACAAAAGAACATAAATGTAGCTCAGCAACAAAGTAGAGGGACTAAAAATCGCTGTCTTTAATTTTGAATTCGTAATATTTTTTAAATCCTGGCATCAGTAGATATGAAGAGTATGCTCAACATTTGACATGTGGTTTGTATAGCAGTATGGTTTAGACACATGTATGTAAACACAGGAAGTTGTATATAATCCTGTAGGTTTTTTTGACAGGTCAATATTCCCACCTGATACAAGCAGCTAATAATATTTCTAACTACATCAACCAAAACAGTACTGTATGGAGTTAAAACACCCAAACATAGATGATATATTTGTTGTAGTTATCTAATGGCTTCAGGGGAGGTAGAGATATTTTCAGACATGACAGATCAGGATTATCTGTGGCGATAAGTCAGAGAAGTCGTGTTTGTGGGAGGGTGGGATAGTGTACTAGCCGTACATGGTTATCTTGTAACACAACACAAGACATGAACTGACTCAACAGAGTTTGTTCTGATGCCATTGTTTATAACTATCAGAAAGGTACATTTAGTTTTACTTCATATTGAAGGAAAAATGTTGTTGTACACAGTCCTCATCGGAACAAAGTATAGGTCAAAACAGGTCACACAAAAAAATGTATCTAGTTGAAAAATACAAATTTATTGAACATGATATAATCAGGTGTCAGTGATTCAGTGCAATTACAAAAAATGATAAGACTGTTTTTGATATTTTTTTTACAAAGTTTTGTTATTCTTTTTTCCTTAAGTTGAACCAGATTTTTACAATCATTTTTGGTTGTTCAACATTCACACCACTGTGTAACTGACTAGGTAGTGACGGTCCGTGGAAACAATCAATTCCATGAAGTGGCTTTACGAGCGAGTCGGCGTCCCAAAGGTCGTTATATTTATTACAGAATGAAATTATGGTCAGCGGGTTTCATCGCATACGTATTTTCCATCAGCTTTGACTCACCCTGATTTTGTATTTGATTATCCGAGAGTTGGCCATACATGTACTAGTACATGCTAGGCTGCAGCATTGAATGATGCCAAGGAAAAGTAATCAATACTACTATGACTGAGAAGGCACAGGGTGGGCTGGAATTGTCCATCAGTGAGATTGGTTCAATAAGGAGAGTATGGGATAATGGCATGGTTGTGTCCATCATGTGTACATTATGGAGAAACCATGTTGGCTGGGGGGAACGGTCGTAAATTATTCCTGCTTGGCAGGTCTTAGGGTTAGGAAATACTAGTGGTGCCATATACAGTTTTGTACTAAAGATATGGGCAGGCTGTAATGGGTTAGACTTCTCAGGATTGCTAATGCTGGGATTGTCCTAAAGTAGCACTTGTATAGACGTAGGTACTATCAGTACGCGGTCTTCAGTTTGGAATATAGTGTGTTACTTTATCAAAACAAAGAAATTGCTTTGAATGACATTTTATAAAAATTCTGAAAGCTTATTTAGTGATGCTGAGGTACTGATAGTTTTCTGTATTTTCCTCTATGCTCAAACCAAGAACTGTGGGTATCTATATGTATCTGCACAGGCAGCATAGCCGTTATAACCGCCTTTCACTAGTTTCAGTGTAACACACCAGCTTCGGCACGATGGCAGCTGGTTATATTACACTGAACGACCTGTCACACCTAACCTATTCATATCTAACTGTATTTAATTTTTTTTTTACTTTATTCTTTATTTCAGGCACAAATTGGCCCATAGTAGACAAACAATTAAAATAACAAGGTGCACACATAGTAAAAACGGTAGGGTTCGGTACATATACATACGAGAAGGGCCTTACCGGTAGACTAGGCCGATATAGTGATCCCAGTAGTGACTGGTGGATGATAAGTCTGAGTGGATTGCGAGTTTTATGATTCTGTTATTACTGTTGAGGAGCCGATTGGTGAAAGAGTGTGTTAGTTTACGTCTGCGAGCATCGAAGGTATCGACAGCCTCAGTCACAAACATTTAATGTTTTAAGTTAGTTTTTTTGTCCTCTGCTAACACGTAGGAAGCGGAAGCTGTACAGTAATGTGAGTGTGCACATGTCTGAGGTGTTGGACATGTTCTGTGTTGTGTCAGAATGCTGCATGTTGGAGCAGCATGTAACACCATGTCAGGTACAGTACAGGCTAACCCTGCTACACTAACCTGATGTGTCAAACCTGCTGCACTGGGGCTCTCATGGGGGATTCCAGCGAGCAAGACTGCAACAAGTCTGGAAGCATGTGATGGGTCGGTTGATCACGAAAATTAGAAAATTGTAATGTTGGAGAAGCCTGGCCAGTCAGTAAACCTTACATTAATTTTCCACCTCAACATCTGCTTGGAGATTATGGGTAACACATGTTGATTTGGGAATTGTATGTCTTCATAAGGACAATATATGATCTCTTTGGTTTTCAATGTTTTAGTTGTCCATTGTAGATTGTAGATTCCAAGGAATTTGTTCATAGCTATTCTGGACAGACTTCAGTCACACTCCCTCATTGTATATTATCTACAAATTCATTTCTGGCTTTGTTAATGCAGAAAATGTATCACTAGAACATACTGATAACTAGTGATGCATACCTAAACCCAATTTCAGGTTCAGGTCCGGATTCAAGTCCAGAGGTTTAGGTTCAGTTCTGGACTTGTAAGTCCGGACCTAAACCCATGGCATATACAAAATTGCATGTTGGCAACCTTGCAATGTTGTCTGGGTGAAACTTTGGCCACATAATTAATATAACATGGAGGCCGACACTTGACGATGCCCGATGGCAATGTTTTCTTCATTTTGCAGCAAAGATTTTGCAATCTACGGAAGGTTTTAGGTGGTTTGGGGTATGTGAAGGGGTCTTTTATGGTAATAAGTCCGGACTCAGTTCTTGACTTTTAGGTTTTTTTGGACTTGAACCTAAACATTCTTACAAGTCCGGATCCAAGTCCAGTGAACCGGTATGCACCACTACTGATAACCCCCATGTATGACCATGGTCCAGTTGTTGACTTCCTGTTGCTAATGATGTTAGTTGTGTACCAACAAGTCACTGTCAGACCAGCCCTGATAATGAACCTTGTCAGATGGACAGGGGGGAGGGGGGCACTTCTCACAATCAGCTACAGGACTGACCATTGCCATTTCTTAGTAAAACGTTGAACTTTATTCCAACACAATTGTACAGGGATCAAATTCTCATTT